AGGCATTAGAGAAGATGCTATATGAGATATTTAAAGAGTGTTCACGACTAACCCAGGAGTGGAAAGAAACCAAGATGGAACCCTAGTTCGGGTGTAGGTCCGGTGTGGAGGTTTTGATTTCTGTACAAGAAACCTCTGAATACCTGCAATCTGAAACCAGAAAATTAGTGTGCAGTGTAGGCTACTTTGGACAACGATTATGGTCATATGATGAAGAATGGGATCACAAAAGAGCATTATATGGAAATATCTCCTTGTGGAGAATACATAGTATTAATCAGCTTATCAATCGGAGTTATAAGTCATCCGAAAATCGCTTTGAAAGTTGGCCTAGAATCATTCAAGTATGAGATTTCCAGAAAACACGTTTCGATGAAGTCTTTCCAAGGGATCGTTTGGAGGCTTAAATGAGGTCTGATCGAGCTGAGTTTTGGTGGAAATACTGATGAGATATGGGAATTCATATTCGATGGTGGGATTGGATTTCCAACGGTTCATTTGAGAGTTATTTGTATGTCTCCAAAGTAGCTAGGGAAAGTATTCTTCATCATCAAACTGGCCACGGTTTTCGATTCAACAACGGAAATGGAATGTGGTCTGGTGAGAAAGGTTTGGCTATTGAGGGTGAGGAAAGGCTAAGCCGTTTAAACGGTTATCTCTCCGAATTGACTGCTAGTGGTTGCTAGTGATGGTTACAAAGGAACCCAAGTGGATGATCTTGCAGGAATTAGACATATCTTCAAACCCTTGGAGGAATCTGGGATTCTGGTTTGCAGAACCGATGAGGAGTTATTGCGAGCTTTGGAGTGTGAACTGATTGGAGGCTTAGTTGACTTGTCGATGAGAGCTGTCGGTGAGAGTTTCTGGTTGGAGTTGCCGTTGTGAATCGCCAGAGGGAGTCACCGAGAGTAGATCGACGGCAGAGGATTTAGGGGTTCATGAGGTCCTGACTTTTTCTCCAGAAGACAGTGACAGCCACAGAGTAATCACTGAAAATTGTGGAGGCGGTGGTGGTGGTTTGAGTTATGGAAGGAGCCACCGGAGATTGCAAAGATTCCAGTCGCGTAAAGGAGTTATGGTTTGCATCGTGTTCGGTGTGGAGCTCCTGCGACCACCAAAAGGAGTCATCGGAGGTTGGAGACGCGGTATAGACTCGCCGGAAGGTGTCACGCCGTCCACTGGAAACATAATCGGATGAGGAGAAGTTTAGTTGTATCGTCGGGAAATTCCAAAGGCGTTGAGAGAGAGAAAAAATATATGGGTTGGGCCAAGATAGAGTTTGTGAGAGATGGGCCTTTATTTTAGAAGGACCAGATGGGCCAAAGATATGTTACAGCCTATATGGAATGTGAAGTAAGTTTGTTTCTCTTTCTTCGTTACGGAGAAGAAAACGAGATGGTGGAGAGCCAACGGTGACGACAGCAGACCATGATGGCGAGGCAGTGAAGAAATCTCTGTGGAGATGGATTGAGATTCACAGTTACTCAACAGAAGAGGAGGTATTAATGTTAGCTCAGAGATTCACAAATTGCATCGAAATGATCTACCTTCATTCATATCTTTCCAATGCCTTTTATAGAATACAATTACTGAAACAAATAACTGAACCAAGCTAAAAAAAAGGAACACAACTCAACTAAGAGCACGACTCAACTAAGCTAATAAAACGGGAACAGAATTGACTAAGTAAACTATAAAGAACAAGTCTCTTTATTCCTAGACTTACGGAAGATAAAGACACGAAACAAACCCAACAATCCCTCCTTTGAACTGAACCTTCTTCAAGAAATCAGTTCGGAACACTCATACCAAAAGCTTCACG